TGCGAGGCGCTGGAAGGCGGCGCGCGGTGTGCCATCAGTCCGCGGCACCGTCCCGCGGCGCTGGGGTTGCAAACCGTAAGGGCCCGGTAGATGCGGTGTGCTGGCTAGGAAGGGGTTAAGGCTTTGTGACAGCGCCAGGGACTAAAGTTATGCTTCCGTCTCTGAGCTTGCTTTGTCTCTCGTTCTGTGCTTGAAAGAGCGTGTTGTTTCTTGTCTGCTCAGCTGTCTCCTGCTGGTTATCCTCGCCTCTTTTTGAGTGGATCTTAATCTTCCAAAATCAGGTTTTGCATGCTGAGCTGCCCTTATCTGCTTGGACTTGAGCAGTCCAAGTTACTTCCAGTCTCACCGATCGGTGTCATTGCAGTGTAACTGATTAGCAGCTAAACCCTTGCACAAGGGCTAAACAGTAGCTAAAACAGTGAGGATGATGGTAGATGATACTCAAATTTTAATGGGCTGACTTGTGGCTTTTCTGCATCAGAATGGTGCTCAGACTGTAACGTGCTGAATCTTGAAGCTTATCCATTCAATCGGAAAAGCTTATGTAGCCCAAGAGGCGATTGTAATTGCCCATGTCTCTTATTTTTTTTCCAGGCTTGTGATCGCCATGGCTGCAGTGGATCGTTTCTACCTCTTGTACAGAGAGATCAGTCGCTCCTGCAGTTTTTACATAGAAGCCCTGGCGATAGTTGGAGCTTGGTACACAGTCAGGAAGTGTGTCTCTCTTGCGTTTGACACTTACAGCATGCTTAGGTTGCATTTAATTCCAAAGCTGGGTGGCGAGATTGATCTTGTCAAGCGGTATGGAAAATGGGCCGTGGTCACTGGTAAGAGACTGAAGCAGATTTGCTGGTGTTTATGTAATTACTGTGCTGGTACTGTAAAACTTGCTGGCTTATATTGCAGGGTGAGCTTTATGTCACAAGCTGGGGTCTGCGTTATCTCGGGTTGCAAGTTCATCTGCTTGAGCAGTGACGGTTGTTCAGTGCCTTGCTAAATTCCGTTCCTCAGGAGGCAGGCAAGCTCAGTGTGTTGGGAAAGAATCACAGAGCAATTTTTTCCCCAAAATTGAAAGGTACACCCCAAACACATACAAGTGTAGACAGAGATGCAGACAGGTTCCTTTTTTTGCTATGGGCTTTTCACATGTGCTCAAATTCTTCAACGAGATTTAAGTCACGTGCCGCTGACATCCTTGCCTTTCATTAAGGTTCTACTCTAAGCTCTTGGTTATTGTCATAGAAAATATAAAACTTGTTTGAGGCTGAGGTACTTAATGGCTTCTTTGCCTCAGTCTTTAATAGTCAGACCAGTTGTTCTTGGGGTAGGCAGCCCCCTGAGCTGGGAAGACAGGGATGGGGAGCAGAATGAAGCCCCCATAATCCAAAGGGAAATAGTTAGTGACCTGCTACACCACTCAAGACACACACAAGTCTCTGGGGCCGGATGGGATCCACCCAAGGATACTTTCAATCCTTTATCAGCAGTTGTGGCTCACTGGGGAGGTCCCAGTTGACTGGAGGTTGGCAAATGTGATGACCATCTACAAGAAGGGCTGGAAGGAGGATGCAGGGAACTAGAGGCCTGTCAGTCTGACCTCAGTGCTGAGGAAGGTCATGGAGCAGATCATTTGGAATGCCATCACGTGGCACATCCGTGACAACCAGGTGATCAGGCCCAGTCACCGTGGGTTTATGAAAGGCGGGTCCTGCTTGACTAACCTGATCTCCTCCTATGACAAGGTGACCTTCTTAGTAGATGAGGGAAAGGCTGTGGATGTTGTCTACCTAGACTTTAGTAAAGCCTTTGACACCATTTCCCACAGCATTCTCCTGGAGAAACTGGCCGCTCATAGCTTGGACAGGCGTATGCTTTGCTGGGTAAAAAAACTGGCTCAAAGAGTTGTGGTGAACGGAGTTAAATCCAGTTGGTGGCCAGCCACAAGTGGTGTTCCCCAGGGCTCAGTGCTGGGGACAGTTCTGTTTAATATCTTTATCAATGATCTGGATGCAGGGATCAAGTGCACCCTCTGTAAGTTTGCAGACGACACCAAGTTGGGTGGGAGTGTTGATCTGCTTGAGGGTAGGAAGGCTCTGCAGAGGGACCTGGCCAGGCTGGATCCATGGACCAACTGAATATGAGCCAGTAGTGTGCCCAGGTGGCCAAGAAGGCCAACAAGCATCCTGGCTTATATCAGCAATAGTGTGGCCAGCAGGAGTAGGGAAGTGATTGTGCCCCTGTACTCAGCACTGGTGAGGCTGCACCTGGAATACTGTGTTCAGTTTTGGGCCCCTCACTACAAGAAGGACACTGAGGGGCTGGGGGTTGTCCAGAGAAGGGCATCGAAGCTGGTGAGGGGGCTGGAGCCCAAGGCTGCTGGGGAGCGGCTGAGGGAGCTGGGGGTGTTCAGCCTGGAGAGGAGGAGGAGACCTTATTGCTCTCTACAACTACCTGAAAGGAGGGTGTAGTGAGGTGGGTGTTGGTCTCTTCTCCAACAACAACAAGTGATAGGATGAGAGGAAATGGCCTCAAGTTGTGCCAGGGGAAGCTTAGATTGGATATTAGGAGAAATATCTTCACTGAAAGGGCTGCCCAGGGAAGTGGTTGAGTCCCCATCCCTGGAGATATTTAAAAGATGTGTAGATGTGGCGTTAGGGACATGGCCTAGTGGTGGACTTGGCAGTGTTAGGTTAGTTGTTGGACTCGCTGATCTTAAAGGTCTTTTCCAGCCTAAATGATTCTGTGATTCTATGACAATGTTGTCTTTATTGTTGTGGTTTTGAGATCATTATATGCAGTGCCACGGGATCTGCAGAGAAGGGAATAAAGCTATAATTGAAAGAACTGGCAAAAGAGAAGGCTGGGGCTGATCTGATTTTTACCTTGTTTTTTTGTTCTCTATTACAGGTAGCACAGATGGTATTGGGAAGGCGTATGCTGAAGAACTTGCAAAGCGTGGTGTCAACATCATCTTAATCAGCCGAAACAAAGCAAAGCTGGAGGCTGTATCTAGAAGCATATCTGAAACCTATAAAGTGGAAACAGATTTCGTAGTAGCTGACTTCAGCCA